TTTATTAAGGGAGAAAAGAGGCAAAATTCATGAGATAAATATTAAAAATTCGTGGAACTCTCACGGCTTTATATTTTTAACTTAAATTTACATTTATAAACTAGACAAATTCTAGAAACATATTCGGCATTACTATTTTCTATCAAGATTGCGATTCAACGGACAGTATTTTTATACATAACACTACACATACAGATTTTCTTCATTTAAGTAGCAGTGTTTTTAAAAAAAGAATTTTTCGGCAACGTAATTGTTTGTCGATAGTGCGAAGCAAAGTTGGACCATTTTATGTAATTTCGAGAAATGAACATTTCTCTTATTCCAGAAGTCCAACCAAACTGACAATAGATAATTCAGAATTCCTTTAGTTTAAGTTTGGAAAATAATTATTTTTCAGTATATTTCTGTAGGAGTTGTAGAGTAAAGAACATAGAATTAATTTAAACATGGAAATAATGTAATGATTGTGATAAAAATTTTTTAAAAATACAGGAAAAAATTCAAAAATTGACGTATTTATTCTGCTTCAATCTCACATTCTGGCAATTTTAGAAAAATCCCTAAATAAATTTCGCGAAAACAATCAAGAAAATTCGTACGTCGATAACGTTAGTTTCTTAGTTATTACCAATACATACTTAGAAATATGTAGACATTTCTAAAAAAATTACCAAAGAACGTCGAAGAGTATTAGAATATAATCCAGGTAATTATTAGCCAATGCGAATTTAAAATTAGATATTTAAATTCAAGTTTATTTAAAACAAAATATGTCATCTAAATTTCAAACATATAAATTCTTAAATCGGGGAAAAATTAAATTACCGTATTTTTCAATCTTCCTCTTATTTTACTCTTTTCGAGAAAAATCATAACATCAAATAAAGGACACTTTCTAGGTTATGCATTCCTATTATTTTAATCTATGACCTCCAGTCAAAATCTCACTTCTTCTACTGTCAGTTAAACGTAACAACACTAATTATTATGCTAAATATCATTACAGTTTTGATTTAATATTGGTATTTCTAAGATCTGACAGTGCATTTTTCGCCATCAAAATTGATCACTAAAATTACTAGCTCTTATGTAAGTTGTCATAGAAATTAGAGATAAATTTTTGTCCTCCGAATATTTTCATAGTACATTCTTAAACAGTTGATTAAAAAAAATCAAAATAAGTCTTTTTCTTAGCAGCGTTACAAATGAAAGAAAGTCCGGTTATTTACTTTCTGTCATTTGCGTAATTCATTTCCTTGTAGTTCTATTCACTAATAAGATAACTTATTTATTTTACTCCTTTTCATTATTTTCATTTTCATTATTTTTTCTCTCCCTTTCATTATTTCCACTTATATGTGCAAAGATTTTCAGCTACTCAAAATGCTTTTCTCGTTCTTTCAATACTTACACTTATATGTGCATCTTGTAAGAATCTGTCTTACAAATACAAAAATTTTAGAGAAATAATTTTCAGCTTTAAGTTGCTGTTTTTGCTGCTAAAAGTTTTTGGCTCAATTTTAAGATGCATTGCATCAGGATATTAAAATTATCTGAATCACTGTGTAAGGTGAGCGATACAGACGATTCGATTAGAAAAATCGATTCTTGTTCATCTGATAAATTTTTATGATAATAAACTTTTTATTCGAGACAAAAAGATTCTTTCTGTTCAAAAATTAGTTAGCGTTCGATCCTTACAAAAATATTTATTCTCCATTAACCACAAAAACAATCACCGTATATTAAGAAGAACATTGTTGACCTTTATTAGCTACAAGTGGCCTATATTGGCTATATTATGAAATCATGTATTAAGAATTATATTATCGAACCTTTATCTGCAGAAATCAAGTCATTGGCATTTAATCCCTTTAAAGATTTAAAAGGAGAGTTTTCTTTTTCATAAAACAATCTTTGAACATTATGAAAATATTTATTTCACCGTTAATGATAGAAACAAGCATAGCATTTACGATTGATATTCATTGGCCTGATATGTAGTATTTATTAATTCTAAAGTTATATCATATATTAAAAGTAATATTGTTAAATCTTCATCATATTTTTATTCTTAGAGTATATATTTTTCTTTAGAAGATTTCATTATTACCAGTAATGAAAAATTCCAGCTATCGATATATCAGATTATATATCAGTATATCATGTGCATCAGATTATATATCAGTATATCATGTGCATCAGATTATGATCTCATTGACAATGATCTTAATAGATCGCGGTTTCATTTTCATTATTTTGTAATCGTCACTAACATTTATTATCTTGTAATGTAAATAAAGTTTTAACCAAGCAACCAATGTAAAACCAAGCAGCAATTCTCTTGGAAATAAGATATCTGGAACATATACGTACTTTTATTCTGTTATTAGAATACGCCATTTTTACTGAAAATTTAATGCGCATAATTTATTCTGAGAAAATGCATTCCGAACATTTAATGTATAAAAATTTTGCGATGATTGTAGAAGTTAAACAACAAGAATCACTGTAATGTTTGTAAATTTTTGCAGGAGTAGTTTTGATGGTTTAAATACAGAACCATCTTCTTCAGCTGCCTAAATGCGATGAAGATGGTTCTGTGTTTAAACCATCGAAACTAGTCCTGCAAAATTTACAAACATCACGCTGGCTCTTGTTGTTTAACTTCTTCAATAATCGTTATTCGACTGTTATGCAATGGTTTAATAACTTAAACAGTTTTTCCTTGGAAAAATTATAGCGTTTATACTATTAAATTTATATTGATCTTAACATTTTTAAATTAACAAAACTGACACTGGTTAAAATTATTTTCTTCCAAAGGAAATACTGTATATTTTTAATATAAATCAAAATGGTGTTCTGTGCGTTCATGTCAGAGTTTAGAATGAAATTTTTAAAAAAATCAGTTGTATGTAACTTGATATTTTCATTAGGGCAGGCTCGTTTGTTCTGCATTTTTGCATAAAATCATTTATTCATAAATATAAAAGATACTATTTTTCGAATACTGATTTGTCATAGCAAAGGATTTGCGTATTTATAGATGTTAGAAAAAAAATTCCTTTAAAAAGAAATGGAAATTCTTCGTAATTACGTTACTCAGTATTTGGCAGATTAGGAAAAGTTGATGAGGGATTACTAATTCTAAATTCCATTTCCGCTGCGTAAAGTTTTGGTTTCAAAACTTTTAGAGTTTCTTTTAAGATCCTTTTGTCATTTAAGAATTCGAAACTGTTGGAATTCTGTGAGAATTCCTACAGTTGAAGGATAGTTTGCGTTGAGTTGTTGAGTAATTTACGTGTTGAATAATTTACACATGAGTTGAAGTGACGATTTCGTACCTGGACACGATGCAACATTGAATAGTTGAATTTAAAGTTGACCTTCACTGTTAAAAAGAAAATAATTTTGGAACTTCTGTGCATATTTTGAGGAACACAGCAAAAATCATGCAAAGAGAACCTTACGTAATTATGCAATTTTTATCTGCTTATAAAGCTGATGTGTTATTGAGAAATTTTTGCTCTAAGTTATTGTTATTATTATTTTTTAGATGGTGAAATTTATTCAAATATTAGCATAATTTCAGTTGTCAGCCGAAAGCTGTGCAGGAATTTTAAATTAAATTTACTTGCTTACTTACTTCATGATTTAATTTGTTTCCCTGTCTTTATTTTATGTGACTCTTAAAATGATATTTTATTTTTATATTTTATTTATTTATTTTGTTTTTAAAAAACAGGCTAAATTTCGCTGAAATATAAACGCTTAGTTGTCGCCATGATATTTTATGCTGTTCAAATGGTTTTCCGTATCTGGATTTGATTTTGAGAAGAGTGGCTATAGAATATTGGTAAGTATTGAAAAAATATTTTTAATAGAAGAATTTTATTTATATTTCACCTTTATGAATGTAGTTATGCTAAATGATTTTTTTAAATTTGTAATTAAACTTAAAAGAATTATTTAAAATTTTTATGCGTTTCTTTTTTAAATTTTTATTGTGCTTTTATGATATTATAAATTTGCAGTTAAAGCAAATCATAATTCATTTGCCAGTTTTTCGCTTATTTTAATATGAACGATTATTGGTGAAAATAGTAAAATTTATTTATGACTTCATCTGAATATAAACATAAATTACATGCAGTCGATAAGCAAACGGAATTTTTTTTTTTTTTTTCTATTGACTAAAATCGTTATTAAAATTGACTGGTAAACGACTCGACAATTGACAATTGACTAGTAAGCGACTCCTTCGACAGATTAATCGAAGGCAATGGACTGCATAGATAAAACTATTATATAACATGCATTTTTATCAATGAATTTCTTTTCTTTATGCTAAACAAAATGATAGATTAAAATTTAGAAAATCAAAGTAACTATATATCTGTGAACCGTATTGTACTTAAAAGCAAAACATTTCTTCAGCGAAACTATTCTCTCAGATCTCACGAAATTTAATTTTTGGAAATTAATATTCTATATTGCACTTTTTGAAAGAAAAAATGATTTTCTACCAAAAATGCCATTTTTAAAGCAAACTCATCGAGGAAAAGGATATCTTATTCCATTCAAATAAACGTTATTCCAGTCGAAGATTTTTTTAATCTCTAAAAGTTATTTTTTAAATGATGCTTTTAGAACAAAAAAGAAAACTAAATTTACAATATGTTTAAAAAATTTTATATACATTTTTAGCCAGTTGTAAAAATTTTCCAGCTGAGATTCGTGTTCTTAGAATAAAAATTTAAAAGATGTTTGATAATTCCTTTTCATTTTAAGGTAAATTCCAAGCATAGTTTACAAAATAACTTTTGGCACAAGAAATTCTTTTAAGGTACCAAGTATACTTATTAAATGTAAAGCGATTTTAAATACATAAAAAATACAGTTATAAACAAAATCTTCGTAATTTCCTCAGAGACAAGATGATCAAATAAATGGTTGAAGCAAAGATAAATGCAAGCAAAAAATAAATAAAAACGTACCTTTTATTTATCGTTCTCGTTGTAGAAATTTCCTTCAATCGTCTGTACTTTTAGTCGAAAACAGAAATGGCTCCCAAATAATTTTTGGAATTAGAGATCAACGTTTCGGACCACATGCCTTGACGTCGCCATCTTTGATTGCAGTCACGTGATTGATGGGAGAATTTCTACAGGGGTTGGGGTACAATTCAAGACAAAGGGATCGTGTGCAGGGTAAAGATTGGTTATTTCGATGAATGCTCTCAAATGAAAACTCCTTCCAGGGGTTTTCACCAAATTCTGCGTTTTAAAATAAATTTTAGCTGGTACTAATTCCGAAGAAAAGTTAGCTCCCGTTAATTAAAATTAATTTCCTAAATTTTTGCTATATTATATCTCGTAATCGAATGATTTATGAATCATTTAAAAGTACGTTTTATGAAAAATAGAATAAGTTTAAGATTTATTACTATACGACGATTCTTCTTGCGCGGCATTATGAGAGAGGTTTTAATTTGCTATAAAATGGAAATTGATGAAATGTTTTCATAATTATATCCTTAATAGTATATAAAAATTATCTAGAGGCGCCTGTTTTCACACATATATAAGAAAAAAATTTAAAACAATTAGGCCTGTATACTATTACAGATGTGTTACCGATCTGTGTACTGTTACAGAAAAACATAAACAGGATTATTTAATTACGGCAAAGTAGATTAAGGCTAACTGTTTAAGGGAAGGGATACTTTGATAGAAATTAGTTTATATTCACATTACATATAAGAAAAACCACGAAAGAGTCAATCCAGCTAATCTCTTCTTTTTGATTGAATCGAATTATCAGTGTTCGGTGTTCTAATAATTTCGCTACCGATGGGCCTCAGATAAAAAATATGAGAAATTCGAAAAATCATAACGTCGGCACTTGAGTAGATCACGAGACAAATAACTTGTAACAAAATGGCGACATTACACTGGTAATTTTGATTTAGTTTCGGGTCTTTCTATTAGAAGACTAATAACAAGAATAAAATCTCATACAATAAAATCGCAAAAGATTTTATTTGACGATGATAGCAGTGGCAACACTAACGTTATGTTTTCTATTAACGTTTTTCAATTTCATTAATTTTCAGTTTCATGGTATTCAAATTCAAGGTAAGGTCTATTTTTTTTTATCACTTACATCAGGTACATATTCTTTTTATGAAATATAGGTCTTTCTTTTTTTTCCTCTTCTTTTCTTTTCTTTTCCTTTTTTTTTTTTTTTTTCAATTCTTGCTATGAATTTTAGTTCTTTATTTGGCAGCAATCACGGTGATAATTTAATGCTGCGTTTGCTATTATTGCTGTGGCCGAAATGTTTCCTTTAGCTTCAGTACTATATAGTACGATATAATATACGATGTGATTCAATACCATATAATTCAAATTCTATATAATTCAGTATCTTTTGCGATACTATTCTACCTAATTTTCAGCTAATACACATTCTGTAAAACTATATTTCAGATCTAATATTTATATATGTTAGCAATAAATTAAAAAAAAAAGAGTTTGATTGCAATCAAAACAGAACAGGTCAAAACAAAACTGTTATTTGCAATCAAACAAATCAAAACAAAACAATTATTTGCAACAAAAACAGAACAGGCAATTTTATGTTCAGTTAACATTTTTAAAACGTGGTAATTGTATCATTTAACAGGAATTGGCTGATTTTTAATAAAAAAAATTGCTCCAACGTAAAATAACTGAAACACATTACCAATTTAAATAAATTCAAGTTATTTAAACCATATGTTTTGGGAAAGATAACTTTTATAATCTCGTTTTGATTCATCATATTTTTATTCATCAAGAACAGTTCTCCCACCCCCCATTCGATTTTTTGGGACATTTATCACTTTTTTATTATAGAGTACTTTCTTGAAGAATTCTTATATTAATTATGTGATTTAATCCTGCGTGTCGTAGAGGAAATGCAGTAAATGGTAATATATCGTTATATGAGTTATACCATGACCACTTTTCAAAATGTTTTGATAAAGATCAAAGGCCAATTCCCAACACAGATAAGCTTCACGCGATATCGTTAAAATTTAAGATTTATTTCCTAAATGGTCCCTGTGATTGCCTTTCAACCAATTTAATGGTCGAGGCAATGACGAATTCAATTCCTGTGTTGGGGGAAAGAGAAGCAGGAAAGGGGGGAGCATCCAATTGTCTGAAATGACAGTTATCCACGCATGGAGAAACTCGCCATTGGTCCATTGGAGTTTTATGCCCCGCCTCAGTATACGATGCCCGGAGGTCAGCGTAAACGTCTTACGACATGTTCATGCAAAACACGAAACCTATTCTTTTTGCAATCATTTGTTCGACTTGCTCCTAATAAGATACGGAATTTTTTTTTTCTTTCTACCCACCCTCCTTCCTTTTCGTGGAATTTTCTTCTTGCCCCCGTCATTGACTTCGGCAATTATTGGAACAAGTCGGTTTCTTTTCATCTTGTCTTGGGTAAAAATTGCAAAACTGTCTACATTAAATTGCTTGTTCAGTAATCATTTTAAAACTGAGCGGAGAGTTAGTGATTGTTAAATGGCACTTTTGACATGACCGTAGGATATATGTCGAAATCAGTGTGCCCCAGCAGGAATCGATTTAGATTGCACTGTTTATGACATAAAGTCCTAAGTAGAAGTTCTGCTGCAAGTATATTGTACGGAGAAGAAAGGAGAGTAATCTAGGAAGTGGGCGCTTTGGTGAATTGCCAAGGGAGGCACTTTTGCTCGATCGCTAATTGTTTTAATAAAATTCATGTCTGGAACTTATCAAAAATCTGTCTCAGATTTACATTAGCTCCGGAATGCTAATCAGGGTGCTTCCCAAAGAAACTGAACTTCGAATTATCAGATAATCGCATTCACCTCAGAATTCATTAAAATAATATTTGACTTTTTTACAAGCATTCTTGGTTAAAAAAATTAGTTTTTCATCATTTCTCAATAGCTATAAGTACTTGTTTTTAATGGAATTTCATATGTATTAACGTCGTTTTCACTTAAAAAAATTAGCATAAATTAAATTTGAAATGAATTGTTTCTCATAATTAAGCATAAAATTCAAGAATAAAATTCAAGTAACACATACTACGTTCTTATGATAGCTTTATGTTTACCTTGCCTCCCAATAACCGATTTATTCGGGAATACAAATGGTGTCTTATATATATGTCTTCGAGGCGAATTTTGTAAAAGATATTACTTTAGAATGCAACAGATTGATTTTCTTTCTGGTGATGAATGTCTTTATGAAAGACTTCAGTCACAATCTTAGTTGCTGTTAATTATGTATGAAACGAGATTTTACTTCCTAACAGTTTTAGATTAATCAATATGTTGTTCTAGGAAACAAATTACCTGATATTATTCTGTAAAACTGATATTTATTCATCTTACTGTTCTATAAAACATTAGCCAACGTTCTGCAAAGGCTTTGCACTCAAATTCTAAAAAAAACTGAGATTATAGTAACAGCAGTATTAAAACAAAAAGAGAAATCTGAAGGGGTTCAGATTTTAACGATCACCCAAAATGATTTGTTAAGGTTTCTCGCTGGGTTCGTATTCTACCAGCCTACTGTTGCACTCACTCCTGCTAACCCAGTACGTTTTATCATTTTAGCTTTATTATTAAGCATCATTTTCTTCACTTCTATACAATTCAACAGAAAAATTACAAAAATTTAAAAAGCAGAATAGCAGCATGTATTTATAATCCCTGAAGCAGTGAAGTGTTGGCTTATATTTTTAACCGAAAGGGGTAATTGGACTAGAAGGGCTATTAATTTCGCTTTGGCATTTTGCATTGATTCATTATAAATGGCGAATCACTTTTTAAATTGTTGCCACCAAATATTATCGCCCTGTATTATATTTTAAGAAATTAATGTATGTATGTTTCTCGCACCGTGATAAAACAACGATAACTAGAGCCATGCAATTTTGAATATTGTAATACTCCACCGAATATGGGCATCTGAAAGCCCTAATTTGTAAACTGGAATTTGTTTTATTATCTATTTCATATTTTATAACGCTTTAACGAATTTTGGTTTTAACAAACTCAAAGATTTCAAAATCGAGCAATGGCAACACTGTACGGGGTGGGGAATTGCCCAGCGCCCAGACTGTATCTCGTAAATTCTAAAGATATGCTCATTAAAATTCTTTTGCGATATTGTTTTGTGAATTGACTTTTCTGGTTAAGTGCACAGAACCTTCTTTTTCCTCCCTATAAACAAACGCAAACTTACAAAGCAGTCCTTTAATGCGTATCTTTTTTTTTTTCAGTCGTTCTCAGTTCTCATATCAGTGCTCTTTTCATAGTAGATACTGCAAGCCTTTTCTTTCTTTTTTTTTTTTTTTTTTTTTTTTTTGTCTTTTTATTATTAACGTTTTGTGTGTCAAATTTATTATTTAAATATCCTGTTCTTGACGCTTACGCCGTATAAAATTCACTTCAACAGCAAAATTACGAAACATTAAAAAGCAGCATATCTTTAAAATTTCCAGTAAACAGTGTCGCGGAATGGAGATAAAAGTGGTTTATTCCGTATTACTCGTTTTAAAATCGTTGAGCTTGTTAATCAAAGATTCAATAAATCTTTACAGAATATGAAATATAAAATTCGAAATTCAAAATTCAAAATTTCCTCACAATGCGAGGAACATATATAAATACAGATTCTCAATTCTTTAAAAATAATACAGGGCGATAATATTTGGTGACAACAATATAAAAAGGTAATATCAGACGCTTTAAAAGAGATATTTTCTAAAAATTACTTTTGTTCTTTATTGGTATAAAACAGATTAACTTTTAATTAGTTGAAGTTATATTTTCCGTCTGATAAAGTAGTAAAAAAGATTTTTGTGGAAATCTAAGTTGGAAAACTACTTTTTTTAATACCTATACTAAAACGAGATTAGGAAAATGTA